GGTTTCAGACATTTAAATAGATATGATTTATAGCAAAACAATACATTTATAGTTTGTAAAATACACAATGGTGTCTATGGAAGCAGCAATAACAATCCATTCAAATATATTTGGCGACGTGTTTTATTCATATCAGATACACAGTGTAAGTAACTATAAAGTTTACTCTATTCTTCTCCCAGTTCACCGGCCACTTACTTTCATGTATTTCGGGAAAAACTGAAGAATTCACGGGCTGTAACGTAACAAATCCAACAGACAGGAATCTCTGAACTGCGGTGCCCATCTCACGTTACAGATCAAGATAATTTATAAAGGGTTTTAAACGACAAAACAAACTCACTTACACGGATTGAGAGTCAGAATAGAAGATAGTTGATGACATGGTAAGCAAGTTTTTTAATATTTAGAAATAAAAGCGCTACATCTGTCATACAGCGCTATTTTGGCTGTGGTGAACACGTGCCAAGCATGACGCGTCACCATGGAAACTTGGCTGGCGGGCGGGCGGGGATCGCGAATTAGAAATAAAGGCCTGCCTCTAATAAAAGCCTGCTTCAAATAAAAGCCGGCTACCATCTGCAGTTCAGGTAAATAAAGGCCCCGGTCTTTATTTGAGGAATTACGGTATATCTGTGCGTCCCCGAACTGGTCCCATATCAGCTGGACCGACTGGGGATGGAGTCGCCATTCGCCAGAGGTTGGCCGGAGCCGTGACAGCTCGTCGGCTGCAAGGTTGCGCTCTCCTGGAATGTAAATAGGAAGAAGGGACCTCAGGTGCTTCTGACTCCATAAGAGGAGGTGGCGTGCGAGTTGCGACATACGGCGAGAGCGTAGACCACCCTGATGGTTGATGTACGCTACTGTCGCGGTATTGTCCGAACGGACAAGTACGTGTTGACCCTGGAGCAGCGCGTGGAAGCGGTGCAGGGCAAGGAGTACTGCCAGCAACTCGAGGCAATTGACATGCATGAGGCGCTGGGGTCCTGTCCAGGAGCCCGCGGCTGCATGTCCATTGCACATGGCGCCCCAGCCCGTGGCAGAGGCATCTGTGGAGACAACAACATGCCTGGAAACTCGTTCTAGGGGAACTCCGGCCCGTAGAAAGCTGAGGTTCCGCCACGGGGTGAAGGACTGACGGCAGGTCGGAGTTATTGGAACTCTGAGCGTACCGCGATGCCATGCCCACCTCGGGACCCGATCGCGAAGCCACAGCTGAAGCGGTCTCATATGAAGCAATCCGAGTGGCGTTGCCGCGGCTGCGGATGCCATATGCCCCAGGAGCTTCTGAAAAAGTTTCAGTGGGACCGCACTCTTGCCCTCGAACTGTCAAAGACAAGTCAGCAGTGAGTGTGCGCGCTCGCTCGTAAGCTGCGCGGACATGGCGACCGAGTCTATCTCCATACCGAGAAAAGAGATCCTCTGCACGGGGCAAAGTTTGCTCTTCTCCCAGTTGACCCGAAGGCCCAGACGGGCTAGGTGCCGGAGCACTAGGTCTCTGTGTTCGCAAACCTGGACTCGAGAGTGAGCTAATATTAGCCAGTCGTCGAGGTAATTCAGGATGCGAACCCCGTGTTCGCGCAGGGGAACAAGGGCTGCCTCGACGACCTTCGTAAAGACGCGAGGAGACAGAGCCAACCCGAATGGGAGAACTGCGTACTGGTATGCCTGCCCCTCGAAAGCAAACCGAAGAAACGGTCTGTGTCGAGGTAAAATGGAGACATGAAAGTAGGCGTCCTTCAGGTCTATCGCTGCAAACCAATCCTGTGGCCGCACGCATTCGAAAATGCGTTTGGTCGTGAGCATCCTGAACGGCAGCCTGTGAAGGGAGCGGCTCAAGACGCGCAGATCCAGGATTGGCCGTAACCCACCGGTCTTCTTGGGGACAATGAAGTACGGGCTGTAAAATCCTGACCTCATTTCGGCTGGAGGGACAGTCTCGATTGCACCCTTCGCCAGCAGGGTGGCAACCTCCGCTCTCATGATCGGGGCATTGCCACCGAACAAAGTAAACGGACTCCCCTGAAGCGGGTAGGAGACCGTGCGAATTGGATCGCATAGCCGAGCCTGATAGTTCGGGCGACCCAGCGGGACAGGTAGGGAAGCTCTAACCAAGCTCCCAAGAACTGAACCAGCGGAAACATCCGAACGACAGACGTCCCACCGGAGGGGCAGCGAAGCGGAGTGACCGGCCCAGGCGTGGGTGGCATAGCGGCCCGGTGCGGGGGCACGGTCATGCTCCGCGTCCTGACAGAGGAGACCAGGGAAGGACCAGCGTTCCACGGGGGTCTGCTCTGCCAGGGATCTGGCGACAGAGGGGGACGAGAGTGGTGTGGTCCGGAGACGGCACACACTGTCATCCGCGCCCTCAGAGACAGAGGGGGACGAGAGCGGCAAGGCCCGGGAGCGTCGCGCACTGTCGTCCGGCCCTCTGAGGGCTCAGAGATGGGATGCAGCTCTTTGGTTTAGAAAAGATTCTCCCCCAGCCCTCCACCGGGGGAAGGAGTGGCCCTGCAACCACTCCCTGAAGAACTGCAACCCACATCTGAGCTGCCCGTAACGGGAGCGCCGCAAGCCTGGCCTTGGCGGGGCTGCGGGACCGGTACGGGCAGGGGCGCCTTCCTGCGACCACCTCCACGGCGCGGCCCGGTGCTGCTGGGGGCCGGGCGGGAGGGGGCGGAAGTCGCAGGAGGGCGCATTCGGCAGCAAGCGGACTGAGGCGTTTGAGCCGGCAGCTGGAGGCAGCAAAGCCGCGGGGTCAGACAAAATAGCCACAGTCCACTTCTGGGCGGCCGAGAACTGTTGGGCAGAGTCCTCCACCGCGCCGCCGAAGAGGCCAGCCTGGGATATGGGGGAGTTGAGGAAACGAAATCACTCAGCCTCGCGCACATCAACCAGGTTAGCCAGAGGTGTCTGACCACCTATGTGGACATCACCTGACTCAGGGAGCGTGCGGTCACCTACGTCGCTCGGAGAGCAAGGTCGGTGACGGCAGGCAGCTCAAGGATGAGCCCTGAATCTGCCCTACCCTCGTGCATGTCATTGAACACCCAGGAGGATGGCAATAACACGCAGTGAGGTGGCAGCCTGCCCCGCAGCTCTATAGGTCCCCGCCACCGGAGTAGACAAGAACCTACAGGCATTGGAGGGGTGCTTAAGAGTCGCCACGCCAGGTGGAGGCGCTGTGGGGACACATAAGTGTTGCCACAGAACACTCCACAGGGGGAACCCCAGTGCACCCTAGGCCGCGGCCTCTACAAGGGCAGAGAAGGCGGAAGAGGCCACTGAGCAGTCGCGAAAAGTCAAGGAGACTTCCACGATCTCATGATCTCTTCATGCACGTCCGGGTAGAAAAGATTTGGGTTCGCCACCCCCAAAAACCAATCAACAGCCTTAAGTGCTCGGGACATGGCAGAAGGTTCCACACAAGCCCGATACTCGCGGCAGCCCGGGAAGCATAGCTGTGCACTCTGGATCAAACTCGTTATGCTAGCACATCCGAGGACGGCAGCACAGACGAGCCATCATCTCTAGAGGACTCACCTGGGACCACGCAGGTTGCAATGTGAAAGACGGGGTGTGGACCGAGGAATTTTTCGTCAGTTTAGTTCCAAACCTGCCGTCTTAGGTCACCCTGGCCACCAGCCGAAGTATTATCTCACGTGGAGAAAAATAGATCGGGGTGTGGATGAGGGGACTCTCACTCATTGAGCTCATCGAGTCTCGACCGTTACATTGCGATGGTCACGTTCCCAGTGAGAGAACGTGACACACCCACGAGCGCTGTCGGAGCGCGATCAAAGCCCAAACACTCAAAACAGCGCTCGCGCCCATCAGCTGAATCTATCAGAATACCACACTCAGAAAAACACGGGCAGATCGTCTTTAGAAAGACGCGTGTTTAAAAAGACGTGCCGCGTGTAGCTCTTTAGTGAGAGGAAAAACTCCGCGGATGTTGAAGCGACCAGGGAGAACACACAGACTGGCAGACCACTGCTCAGCTTGCAGGCAATGTGAAACTCGCTGGATACCGCCGTCACACCAACACCGGAGAGTTCGCTCGTCTCGAAGAGATGTAGTCACTGAGAAAACTCAGGATTTGGCTTGTGGAGTGAAGAGATGCTCTTGGCTCCGAAGCGAAAACATGATCTGCTGTTGCAGGTGTCTCTCCTTAAATACCCACGCGGTGGGGCGGAGATACATTATGCAAATTCCGCAGACCCATGGCATTTCATTGCCATAGGCTCGTTTTTTAATACTCGAAGATGATAGGCTTTCTGGCGAAACCCCCATTCTCCGTCATCCGACGTAACTCGGAGTGACTACAAAAGGGAACTAGGAGTCATTAGCTAAAACGTAAACCATGTGGCTGAATCTCACAAGATTTGGTACACAGCCTCATTTTGACACAAATATGTAAATTTTCATAACAGCCAGACATTATGATTTGACCGTATTTGCTGCTGTAATTTCATTGGCTGCTGACGGCCATGTTTGTTGAATTGTGTGAGTGATATTTGAAGAATATGTTATTATTTGACCCAGAGAAGATGAATATCAGGATTCTGTGGGTTTGATCATGACGTTCAGCAGATACAGAGCAACACATACAAATGTGTGATCATTTAATATCTTCAGTGTTTTGATGTATCAGGGGTTTTTGATGACCTTTTGTCATGAGTTTCGAGTGAATTGGATCAAACTGTCAAGGAGAAGTTTTTTTTTCTTTTATTTCAAAGCTTGAGATATGACTTACAGTCTCTGACGCCCAGACAATTATGTTGATAATAATTGATAAAACAGTGCAAATACAATAATGTTGCAGCAGCTTCAGTGCTTGAACCCCTAAAATACACCTGGATTAAAATATGTTTAAGAAATCCCACTTCTACATAAATTATAAACGATTGATGTGACTCTACTGTTAAACTAAATGACTGTGATCTTCATCAACACAAACAGAGCTTGAGAAAAGCACAGATACACACCGTCACACACACTGATGTCTTTATGAGGATTTATTACACACATTTATTCTAAAATATTTCAGAGACAGAAGTTCAGCTGTTATTAATGTAATGAAGAGACAATAAGAGACTCTATAACATCTCAGTGTTTATGATTTATCATACAGCTCAAAGCATTATGGGTAGAATCTCTCTACAGTCTATTCTAATTCTTCAACAGTTTCACTGTTCCAAGAGCGACCCCAAACCCAGGATAGAGCGGCTGAGTGAATGTGGTCTGGGCTTTGTGGATGAGGCTCATTGTGTCTCTGTCGACCCTGTAGAAGGACAGAGTTCCTGCACTGTGATCCACATACACTCCTACTCTACCGCTGCACACTACAGGGAGATGAGTCTCTTTGGTATTGTATAGGAATACGGTATTGCGGGAAGAGCAGACCAAAGTCCAGGACTGATCATTAGATCCAAACACACACTCATTACCCGATCCCTTCCTGCTGATGCCCTGATATGACACTGCTATCTGCACAACAACACTCCCACTCCACTCGATCTCCCAGTAAGAGCGTCCACTCACACTCTCTCTACACAACACCTGAGGATAATGATCAAATCTCTCTGGATGATCAATATACGACTCCTCTGGGAATCTGCCAGTAATCACTCTTTTGTCCTCGGACAGATGGAGGAGTGTATGCACTGTGTTCATATCCAGAGTGAGCGGATGGGAATCTGATGGAGGAAAAACACATCACAATCAGGAATTAGGAATCTGATCTTTTATGTATCTGAACTCTCTCATGTTCAATATATCAGCATATCTCAGTACAGTTTAATCATCATTTACATGATCAACTTTTCTCTCCGCTTCTCCAGAAGAACATGAACACACTCAGAGTTTCTCTGCTTGTTTTCTGACTTACATTGAAGGAACTCGCTCCTGGTCTTGGGAACAGCGGCTGTGGAAATCAACAGACATGAAGAGAGTGATTAAGTGATTGGAGAAATCCTCCAACACAGAAGATCTGTAGAGATGTCTCTGCTGTTTACAGAGCCCAAATCCCGACACAACCACTATTGAGGCTTTGATATTATTGACATCACCATATTTGATTTGGCTTCTGTAGACATGAACTGATCACAGATTTGATTTGAAAGAATAGGACTCAAAATTCACTTTGCTCATCATACAAAGTAATCATCTCACTTCATAAGACTTGGATTAAACCTCAACCTCCTTATTAGTCTTTTTCAAAGAGACATCGACTGATCAATAAATGTCTCATGCTCAATAATTTATTTGAGATTAGAACTAGATTAACCATTTCACTGCTGTGTGGTTTGGCCTGCATTAAAAAGGAAAATAAATGTCTTAATTTATTGTCTAAATAAGTTTTATTAATAAAGTAAAGGCATATAACCAATTTAAATGTAGTGCATTGACAATAGTTTTATATAATTAGTTTATTAATTAAATTAACTTGGTCTGAAAAATTGGTCCATAAATCAAACACACTTAATAATATGAAACCGTGCTCTAAGTTGTAAGCCAGCCCATCAGGATATCGGCTCTTTTGGTCTGAATGTGGATGTTTAGGTAACTAAAGGCACCGGGGTTGTGGTGCCACCGGCTTGGGCCCGCCATCGCTGCTCACAGCTATATTTATATATATATATATATATGTTCTGTATGCTGCTGTTTGCACTTTGCACGTTAAAATAAACCCTTTGATAAATAAAAAACATTTGTTTGTATTTTTAACGGGTCACATATACGCGTCAATTTTATTTTTTATTTAATGCCAATTCAAAATTATTATCTTATCAGTTAACGGCGCTTGTCGGTCGGGAAAATTAACCGTAATGTTAGTATGAATTCATATTTTGGAAGATAGTCAAAGCTGCTATGTATATATTTGGTTAACCCTTGCGTTATGTTGAGGGTCAATTTGACCCGTTTCGATTTTCTAGTTGTTGGAAATACTGGTTAACCTTTGTTTGTTTTTCTTAATATTTTGTGACTTTTTCTTATTTATCATGATGAACATGCATGCAAAGTTTCAACATGCTGATGTGTTTTGACATATATAAACAAAATGACTGTTACGTTCGTGATGTTCGCGGGTCAATTTGACCCTCATAGACAGCCATTCAAAAGCAACTGTACAGACACAAAATAAAAACATTTATTTTCTGAATGTAAGGGCACTTCAACTCCAGTTCTAACGTGCAAGTGCATCTAAAAGTGCTCTAACCCTAACCAAACACACTTGAAAAAGATAAAATCACAGTGTTTAAAATTATTTGCAAATTACAGATGAAAATCTTTGTCAGACACAGATAGTAAAATAAGCTCTCATTTCAATATTCAAGATATCTAAAATACCTAGCTTTTAACCAAAAACTTTTTTTCACAGAGCCAAAAAATTAATAAAAAACATTTATTTGATGTATGTTTTTGTTATGTTTGGTTTCTCACTTCCCTGTGAGTGAATAATGAAACTAGGGAACTAGGTCTTAGGAAACTAGGCAAATTTAACTTAGGAAAATATGTTGATGTTAAAAGTTTACAGTTTGTATCTAAATCTTTGTTGTTTTTCATAGTGTGATTTTTGAGGAATTGTATTGAATCCAATTAGGGTCAATTTGACCCGGTCCATAAGGGGAGTACACAGAATTCGAACAGTGCACAAGGGTTAAAGCAAGATTTTTCCTGAATCACCACTAGAAAAGTCTTCAGTTTGTGTTTGTTCAGCAGTTTTAAACACATGCAGATTAAGCTGACCAAAGTGGTAAAGCTTCTCTTCCTGAAGAACTGAGATGAGTTTAGCTTTCACAGGATCTCTGTTTCTCATATTTCTCATGCTCTCGACTGGTTAAACTTTCATGTGTGATTTCTGAATATTGTTCCTCGGGAATTAGTTGCTGCTGACACAGTTTATCTGCAATGATCTGGACATTTGTAAAATCTTGTTATTTGTTTTTTTGTATGTTATTTTTGATTTTATTGTAATTATATCTATAGGTGGAGGCGTTAAATAAGCCCATTTGTTTGTTTTTTTGCCTCTTCCTGCACATAAAGTGATAATATTTGTCTTATTTTTTTTTTATATATATATTTTATGTCTTGTTTATTATTATTATTATTGTCATTTTTATGTAATTGTAAAGGTAAAAAAAAAAAAAAAAAAAATCCTGATTGAGATCTGACCAATGATTATCGAAATATCTTGCTTTATCTGACTCACTATTCAGATGCGGCTCGCCTCTCTCCAGATGTTTCCTGTAGCACAGATAGAAGCAGAATGAGAGAGTGAGACAAACAGGCTACAAAGTTAAGACCGAAACTAGCAAGTATATAATGCAACTGAAAAATAAGCAAATTTAAGCCTTTCATGACAGGCAGGAAAAATACATGTCCTGTAATTTTTTGAAAGCTGCAGTCTGCAGTTTTTCCTCTTTGACGCCATCTCTGTTCCAAATCTGCAATTGCAGTTGTAGGAATGATCAGCTTTACGTGGGCTGTGCCTCGGCTCGGCACAGCGCGGATGAACACAGTGTTTTGAGAATGTGCGGCTGTCAGTCGCCGCCGGTTCTACTTTTTGTAAGTATGACCAACATAAGAATTTTCCCCAGAAAATGTCATCTGAACAAATAACATCCACTTTTGTTCTGACCAACTAAGGGAAAAAAGCATTGCAGTAAATCACGCTGATTAAATCTAACGATCACTTATCATATCATGTCAACCGTGCAAATTATACTTTATTCTCAAACGGTTCATGTTAACAACATCAGCATTGCGTGACTACATTTAATGCCCTTCCGATATTATCCTCGTTTCCGCATGGGCGGACATGAAAGCTATATTCTCTATCAATAAACTAAAGTATTCCTCACATGTATTATAAATCAGTCAAAACAAACATTAAATGACTACGTTTACAGAAAGTGGGCTAATTTGTTTAGTAAAATTGCGATATCAAGATGATGATATCATATTATCTTGGATGTATTTTTGTTGTTGTGAAGAGAACATTGAACTATTAGTCAGACTCACCCGGTGGTGTGTGTGTCACTGTTGTTTCTCTCAGGGCGCTGTTTAATGTCACACGGAGACACTGTAGAGTAATAATACTCATTAAATCCAGCATAGAGTGAAGGTGTTGTTGAGTGTGTGTGTGTGTGTAATTACCTTTCTTGTGGTTGTTCTCTAGCTTTTCAGCCAGATCATTCTGGTTAATCTTCCTCAGGATGTCCACCGTGACTTTCACGGCTTCTTCTGGTCCTAAACACGCCACCATCTTGTCCACTGTTTTTAAGCGATCTGCGTTCTCCATTTGAGACTTTGAAATACACTCATGATTATTCGTTAAGTGCCACTGAAACAGCTTCAGTTCATCTTGTACTAGTTCCTCAAGTGTGTTCAAGAGCAGCTCCTTAATAGACGCCATATTCCTTCACGGATTCACTTCAGCAGGACAAAGAGAAAAAGACAGAGTAATTACACTCTAAACACATGGAAACTAAACTAAAGCAATGCTTAATGGAGCTTTAAGCAAGAAGCCCTTCAATTCAAAATGTGTGAGGTTATTACTTTCCAACAGGTTTCATTTACTGCCATCTTCTGGTCAAACAGCAGAAGCGTGTACTGAATTCATGTTGGTTTATATTTTATTTGTTCATTGTTGGATTTTAGTTGGACTTGGTCAGGACTGTTTCAGAAATAGTGATCTGCATGATGCCTTTGGGCTCAGTGATGTTGAATTTAAATTTTATGTTACATTATTGTGATGTTATTCTATTTAAAAAAAAATGTATCAGCTATATATACAAATGTATGTGTATAATACTATATGTATACAAATGTTTTATTAAGTTAGATCAACATTATATCACAGTTTCAGGTTATGTTTAAGTGTTGGTAACGTCCCACATAAACTTACAATCGTCCCACATTTGGCTTATTTGATGGTGGTCACCCGGAAGCCAGAAACATTAAAGTTGCAAACGGTCTAGCCCGCTCTTTTGTTAAAATAGATCAAATATATTTCGAGACATAAATTATAAGAATACCAATACTGAACAGATAGCTTTTACCACATACCTTAAAAACTTTTGTTTGTACCGGTCAAATGGCGTCTTGTCATGAAGCATTCTAAATTTCGCTTTCACTTTCTCTGCTGCTTGGTTAAAAAAAAAAGTATGAGCCACTGATCTATATAATGACTGGATAGCTCATGACGTTCTAAACTGCCACCAGGCAGTGAAGCCACCGGAAGTGTTCGAGCGGCCATCTTACGATTCCCTACCAGCAGAGGGCTCCAGCGTCACTTCCCCGCCGGAACACGCCCCCCTCAGCGGGACTGAGTGGCAGAAGAGCTGCTGCGTGACTGGACTGGAGTTAATAGGGGAAACTGCGTTAACGCGAGTAAAACAAACTATTATCAGTTTAAACTAAAAGTTGGACTCGATATAGTGTTCCTTACAACTTATCAAAGATCCAGTGATCCATGGATATTGACATGCAGCCAGGAATCGTGTTTCCTGACGTTTATATGTGCCTGATTTCGACGCCGGGGAAATAAATGAAGAACATTTGCCTGTAAACGTTTTATATAAATACAATATAGATAGGTCTAAATCCGAGTGATCACTTACATTAATGTTATACTGTATATCATCATATCGTCCAGCCCTAAAACTTGTATAGTTTTTTGTCAGTGTTTATTTAAAAACATCCAATTATGCAGAATATAGTCTGTTCTGTAGCTTTTTGCAGTCTGTAAAAATATACAGTACCTCAGATTTCTGGTCAAATCTAGTTGTACAGTCAATCGCAAAGCTCTTTCCCGTTTTAGATGTGTTTTGTGTGATTTTCACGGCGTTCACGCTGAAAACAAATGCTGCCGCTCAGTCTTTTTGCCACTTGTGGGCGTGACCGCATTCACTCCGGCCGACGGTGACGTCATGCGCATACCCTCAGCTCCGACCCGCTGTGCATCAACAAGTGTAAAACGAAGATCACAAAAGGATCTTGAAAAACTGCTCACAGGTTGTACTTTAAGCCCATATATAGTAATTTATATGCACAATTGTCGCTATTTCCGTGTTGTTTAAAAAAAATGTATAGCCTGCTATGTTCTTCTTACTACATTCTTTCACAGACGTATTCAAGTTTAAACCCAATAAACCTATTATTCAATGCATTACTTCTTATAAATTTAATTAAATGCATGTATTTAATATTTTCGTGTCAATCCGTGTTCAGTTTGACCACGAACCATGCGCTGTCACTTTAATTCAGCGCCTGCAGGACACACGATCTCTGCACCCAGATAGCACAAGTCTATTTGATGTTATATTTACATCTGGAAGACGTATTTTTAAGAGTGTTTGCTCATCTGCAAGACGTCTATAGGACGTTTCCTGTCAGATGTCAAATAGACGTTTAGAAGATGTCTTTAAGATGTAATGATTTAGAATGCATGTTAAACTGACATCTTCTAAACGTCTATTTGACATCTGACAGGAAACGTCCTATAGACGTCTTGCAGATGAGCAAACACTCTTAAAAATACGTCTTCCAGATGTAAATATAACATCAAATAGACTTGTGCTATCTGGGCACGCACGGCACAGGACGGGCATCCGCGTGCAGTGAAAGCTCCACCTGTTGACATGGGTATGGTAAAAAATATGCACTGCAAACGGAGTAGGCCTATGTGTAAACCCCTTATTTACACTGCCCACATCTGCGGCGCATTATGGCTCCGACAATGTTTTATTCCTACCTTCTAGGGTGACCACCTGGTTATTGCTCTGTTGCAGGTCAGCAGACCTGATTTTGCGGGACACGAGGGAGAGAACTTAGCCTACTATTATTAATAAATATTGATTTTATATTAGATGTCTTTTTGCACTAAAATGCTTTAAATTGCTAATATTACGACGCTGACAGGTGAAGCAGTCGATTCTGTTCCCTTCCGGAATTGCTGTTCCCTTTACGCAATCATACTACAAGTCATGCGTAGTTGCCGAGTTACCATACGTACCACCAGAAGTGAATACGAGCAATGAATTTAATAATAAAGCCAAGAGAAAACAGTATTTTTTAGAGTTTTGATCTTCTCTCAACCTAGAGAGCACATCCTGCATTATATTGTATAATAATGACTATTTAATATTAGCCTACCAAACTTTGACTAGGCATGTTGCATATTAATTGTTCTAGGAACCTCAAAGCATATTTAAATTTTTGTGTAATGTGTGCTACTCTATAATGATGTTTGTAGCGTATAGGGCCCAAACATAAACTCAAGCCCAGGGGCCCCCAGCCCCCTAAGTCCTGCCCTGGTCACTAATAATATAAAACAAATTTTAACAGCACGGGTCTATCATTCAATCTAAATAATTAAGTGACAATAATCCAATCGCTAAAAACAAAATTTCTAAATAAGCACATAAATTCCATTAGGAAAGACTAAAGATTAAATGCGTTCTTACCGGATTCAGTGCATCTTGAATTTATATTTTTGTCTGATCTGGCAGCTTCGAGTGGCATAGGCATACACTGCAATCTCCCTTTTTAGGGTCACCTTAACCATGTATATTTTTTCTCCCATTCCTTACGAACAAAGACGCTTTTTCTCTGGACAAACTTTAACATTGAGGGGAAAAGATGTGTTTATTTACTTTGAAGATGGTGGAACAAACAGATAAGGATTTTTCTTTTTTTTGTCCAATTGTTTTTAGTCTTAGGAAAATTCCATATTCATAAGAAGAAATGGGCAGAGTCCAAGCCAAATTTTGAACACTTTTAGCAGAGCTAAAACAATATCACACTAACGTTACTGTAAGAGGTCTTAAAAATAGAAAGGCTATTAAGACCGATCTTGTACTCTCTAAATATGTTTAATTTGCATCCTTTTATATAATTTGGTCTTGTTTTATTTATTTATTTATTTTATGGTTATTGTTTGTCTTGTATGTCTGTTTTAGTAGTGTATTTTGTGAATCAACCCTGGCATAAACAGATGTTGTTGTAATATATTGTTAATACTGAATAAAAAAAATAAAATAAAAATAATAAAAGACGCTTTTTCTTCACGGGAGCTCCGGATAGATCCATTTTGCCGGGTTTTTTCGTTTGTGTGTGTGTGTTTTTTTCTCAGTGTTTGTTTTCCCGCTCTGGTTAGAACCAATAATAACGGCTGCGCCGCGCATGTTCAGTGTTGTCTTATTAACATTTTTTTATTGTAGAATTTTAATTTAAAGGACGATGAAATAAAATTATGCAGACAAAATTAAAATGTGGGACAATGACTTGCGGGACGCGGGACAAAGCTTCAAATTTCGGTACTACCTTCACGCGGTGTCAACTCACTCACACCAGGAGCATTTCCACGTGATTTGCCGATTTGTGGGCGCGATCAGCTCCGGTAGCCGTGTCGCAGCTGTAACAGTGTAAATAAGAGGTGAAACAGGTGTACATTAACCCATACAATTTGTATTATGCATTTCCTGGACATGCTCTTGCTAACTAATCAAATACTTAAACAGACTACTGATCTATCTGTAAAAGTGTGACTTGTGTACGCGCGCCACTGGGCATTGGTCAGGCGCGTGCTCGTCTCCTGCGCGCGCTCTGCTGATCGGCTGTGTGTGTGTCGCGCTGTGGATTGTGTGTGTCGGACGCTGTTTGAGCTGGTCTCGCTGGAGCAGACAGTAGTGGACTGAACTCGGACACACTCTCTACTGTAAGACATCAAGTGTCATCAGTGCATGTGCTGCTTTAACACACTTCCAGGAGACTGTCGCGCGCTGCTCGCTCCCTGACGGACGCAGTTCCGCGGCCGCGACTCAGGAAGTTCCAGCTGTCATCATTGGAACAAACCAAAACATCGCTCTACCTTTATGTGTCGCCGAATAATACGCGCGTTATGATGTAAACACAGTCACAGTGATTCTATTTCTAATCTGATCACATAAACTCAAAACAGTGCGTTCATTTACAGTGTTGTCAGTTCAGTTCTGCGAAACCCGATGCAAATATCTTAATGTTAATGCTGTATTGTATCAAACGCGCTTTAGTTGTTGTTATGCAGAAACACCTAGATGTATTCAGCTTTTCAATACAGAATAAAATGTATCTGCGACAGCTTTTAATCTAGCTATAATTGTTTGAATCTTAAAGGGACAGTTCACCCAAAAATGAAAATGATGTTATTATTTACTCACTCTCAAGTTTTCTCAAACCAGTATAAATATATTTCTTCTGCTGAACACGGATATTTTGAAGAATTTGGGTAACCAAACAGATTTGGATCACCATTGGCTTCTAGTATTTTTTTTTTTTTTTCATACTATGGAAGTCAATGGGTGCCTTCAACTGTTTAGGTTACCAATAATTCTTCAAAATATTTTCCTTTGTAAATGATGACAGAATTTTCATTTTTGAGTAAATTATCCCTTTAACTAATTCTAAGTAGATTAGCACATTACTTTTTTTATTTGGACAAAAAGATCTTTGGAGGCTTGTTTTATTCTTGAATTAATATTCAGTTCCAGCTCACTTTGGTGGTTATAATGCAAAATGAACAAAAGACACTATTGTCTTTTTTACAGCAGAATTTGAATTTGTCTGATAGTTTGCATCATTCATTCTGTTATTTTCCTGTTTGTTTTAAAACGATCTGTACTGTATATAGAAGTAAAGCCGCCTCGACTGCTGTGTGTGTGTGTGTGTGTGTGTGTGTGTGTGTGTGTGTGTGTGTGTGCAGCATCATGTCCAGCCGGGCTGGGAAGAAGAAGCTCAGCAGGTCGTCGCGCTCCGCCAGGGCTGGAGTGATCTTCCCCGTCGGCCGGATGCTGCGCTACATCAAGAAGGGGCTTCCCAAATACAGGATTGGTGTCGGAGCTCCAGTGTACATGGCTGGGGTTCTGGAATACCTGACCGGTAGGACGAGTCTCTTATTCTCATCAGTGTTTCATGTCCCTCCTCCTGTCAATGCACTTCATTAGAAGTCCTAAAGTGAGACACAATGGACAGTGTTCTCTGTAGGGTTAGGTAACACATTTTATTTGTGATTTCCATCATCAGAAACTACAGAGAACATACTGTATGCTCCACTATCCCAGCGGACAGGGAGCGTTCTGGCAAGGTTCTCTCAAAGTTATGAACAAACGTTCTTCCAGGAACGTTAACAGAACGTTCGTTCCAAGCTATCTGGTCTTTAATAATTTTCGCAAAACTTTAGCACAAAACATTATACATCATTCATTAAACGTTTTTTAAATGTTCAGAGTAGTATTCAATAGTAGTAACGTTCCCATAATGTTTAAAGAATGAAACAATGGAATGTTCCCTTAACGTTTGTATAAACAAGAAAAAAGCGTTTTTAAAAAACTGAACGTTTCAGAAATATTGGTAAATAATCTTTTCTCAACTTAAAGGGGACTTTTTTATGCAAAATTCACTTCTACATGGTGTTTGAACATGTGTGTTGGCAGTGTGTGGACACAACCACCCGGGCCTATAATGATAAAAATCCACCCACTTCTCTTTTTCAAATCCCCATAAATCATAAGCAGTGTCTCAGTATAAGCCGTTTGCAGATTGTAGCTTTTGGGACGTCACATATGCACATATGCCCACCTCTGCGGACGGACTGGCCCTATTAGCATAGATGAGCTGTACACAGTCCGCATGTTCATCTCCTCAACAGAGCGTTTAACAGCAGCGTTCAAGTAAGAAATGTATTCTTATTAAAGCTACTAAAGTTATTCAGTCAAGAACAGTGAGTGATATTCTGTTTTTCTTTTGTTGTTTGATTCATATTAACAGCATATACTGTAGGTTCTGTATATTATTGGATTATTAGTGGATTTCTGCATCGTTCTTTCAGCTGAAATCCTGGAGCTGGCTGGAAATGCAGCCAGAGACAACAAGAAGGGCCGTGTGACGCCCAGACACATCTTACTGGCCATCGCCAACGACGAGGAGCTTCATCAGGTAGATCATATCACACACCTCATCTATTCTAGACGGCTTCTTTTGGTCGCCAGTGGCGCTTGAATAGTCAGATCAGACAACGACAAACATGCGAAAACACAAGCCTGTTCTCACACTCCATGGTAAATCATATGCTGTAATATATTGTGAACTGAGAAAACAATAACTCATTTAATTATTGGCCTTATTGGAATAAAGTCCTGAGTGTTGCCCCCTGGGATGTGTTCTGGATGTGCCTGTGCAGCTGCTGAAGGGTGTGACCGTCGCTGCCGGCGGAGTCTTGCCCAACATCCACCCAGAGCTGCTGTCCAAGAAGAGGAGCTCCAGAGGAAAGCTGGAGGCCGTCATCACTCCTCCGCCAACCGAGAACAAGACCAAGACCGCCAAAAAAGCAGTGGTCAAGAAACTGGCCACCAAAAAGTCCAGACGAGTGAAGGTACTCACTGAACACTGGCCAATCCTTTTACTCACTAACCACACACTAACTAGTCTAAGCAGGCGAAATCAGCACTGTCATTCATTTCCATGCAAATGTGCCTCCTTTATGTGTAAACTAGCCTCGGTACAGATCCAGTTTGCCTGGTTACTGAACGTGTAAAAGGAATGTTTGTGTGATCATGCCAGCCGATGATGATCAAATGATGAGCATTATAACCGGATGTGCACTTTCATCATTAACTCGTGTACCTGATGCAAAAGCTGTTTTTAATATCCTTACAGTCAGCATTAGAGAAGCCATTCAGTATCAAAGACAGCTCTCCAGTTATCTTATTATTGGCTGCTTTAAAGAATTAGTTCACTCCTAAATTAAATTTTTCTGATAATTTACTCACTCCCACGCCATCCAAGATGTTCATGTCTTCCTTTCTTCAGTGGAAAAGAAATGAAGGTTTTTGAGGAACACACTCCAGGGTTTCTCCATATAGTGACTTCAATGGGGTCCAACGGGTCGAAGGTCCAGATGTGAGTTTCAGTGCAGCTTCAAAGTCTCGACACGATCCAGCCGAGGAATAAGAGTCTGATCTAGACAAACCAGCCGACATTTATAACACAATACACACTTATATACTTTTATCCACTAATGCTGGTCTTGCTCTAGCTGTGATGCGACACACATTACGTGGTCAGGGTGAAAGGTCAAGCGTGTTCCGGTTCAGAAATGTAGAGTAGGGCGAAAAACTCCATCTTATTTCTCCTCCAACTTCAAAATCGTCCTACATCGTTGTTTTACCTTTTATTTATTTGTAAATGGCGTTTGACTTAGTCTTTTCACGTTCGCTTTGTAAACACTGGGTCTGTTCTTACACCTACGTCACGCTTGACCTTTCAGCCTGATTACGTAATGTGTGTCGCATCACAGCTAGAGCAAGACCAGCATTAGTGGTTAAAAAGTATAGAAATGTTTATTTGTTTTAGAAAATGACCGATCGTAAATTACCGGGAAATTTTAATTCTGCAGTGAACTAATCCTTTAAGGGAGTATGATGCAGTGTGATGTTGTAAATCTAGCAACAGTTTGCTGTTGTTGTGACAGAGACGGGCCGCTGATGCGGACGGCGGACCGGCTGGTGGATTCACTGTCCTCTCTTCCAAAAGTTTATTCCTCGGACAGAAGGTACAAAAACCTTTATGAAACTCTTCTCTTACTGTAGTACAGTGGTGTCCAAACTCAGAGTTCAGCTCCAGCTTCCAGTAAGCCTTGATTAGTTCAGGTGTTTAACTGAAAGCTGAACTCCACAGGACACTGACTGCTAGAGTAACTGTTCAGATGCTCTTTTCCTCTACATTATTTGCCTTTCTCCTCCTGTTGTTCTGCTGAGAATAGCTGTTAAAATCCAAATCCATCTTGCTGATTTATGAATCATCTCTAGGCAATGATTTACTTGTTTCCTCGCATACATCAATCATGAAATGTGAATTGAAATGAATCATTTGTTTTGACGTACGCATTAAGACTTAAATTTAAAACGCATTCATAAAAACACAGAATCAAAACATGAATTGATTAAATCAAATTTCATATTGAGTCATTCTGAATCTTGAATCGATTCTCACCCCTACGAGCTACAGATTTATCTGCATTAATGCATGAATAATTCAGATGTTCATTCCTGCCTATTGCACGTGCATGTTTACTCCAGAGCTGCTCAGGGCTCGTTAGACGTTATCATGGAAACATAATCCTCACACTGTAACAGGATCTTGTTTTATTTCAGTTACAGCTGTTATGTATCTATCATATACTGCCATCACATATCTGAAGAAGTCTTGCACTCGCATTTAAAAAAAATCAGTTCCTTTCTTTTCACATTATCACTATGAAGTGAATTTTAAATGTTAATGAGTAGATGTTGCTGTTGTTCCCCTGTTATCAGACCTTGTTTAGACTATTTGCCTTTATCTTTATAGGACACTGTAGTGCATGGAGACAGGAGAGTAGGGGACCAGTGGCACCTTCAAAAAACAGTGCACACTGCTGTCCAACTCTATTAACTGACTGTAATTGTACAAAATTGCAATTGTCATACAACCCTGTATCCACACGCTCTCAATTGAACCTCACAATGTGAAGAGCCCCTCACTGCTTTCTGACCTAATAATAATAATATGAACTAATTTTATGTACACCTGGCCTGTCTATGGGCGGTATTGTCTACTAGTGACGGGAGGATTCCCTGTTTCAAAGCGCTCTAAACATCCCGTTGGAGTCGAAGCTCAAGCACACCAATTTCACAATTTTTCATGATAGTGTAATCTATTAAATGTAATCTACAAATAATGAAATTTCATTAAATATGAAGGTCCTGTAAAATTGCTTGGCAAACTAGATGAATAAAAGCAATTAACTGTCATTTTCATTTTTGTAATATACACGCTTTAACATTGATATTCGTAAATTTAATGGAAAAAAACAACGACTGTCACTTAGACAACTAAACAAAATTAAATAATTTACTAAAGGTTCTGACAAAATGGCTAATTTCTGCAGTCTATTTAAAATATTTAATCTGAATTATTTTTTAAAAGACAATTTTTCAATGACAAATTTAGCATTTTTAGACATTTTTAACAGTCATGTGTCGCCGCCTACTGGTGTAACGTTGTAATTGATATAATCGTTATTTAAAGTGCCAAATTACATTCAAAGGGTGATTTTCTCTATTTTAATCGCTTCCATAGACATCAGTGATTTATATCTGATTCTGAACTATAAACTTTTATCGCAGTACTGTGATAATAAGAATATTTGTAACAAAGAAACAGCGATACTGTGTGGTTGAAAAGCCGTTTCATATCTATACATGATAACTGCTTTCTAGGGCTGTCAATCTTCCTCTATAATACTATTCGAATTCCATTTCGAATTCCATTTTATTTAATATTCGAATAATATTCGAATATTAAATGCTCAAATTCATCCTATTATTAATATTTACGACATTACTCAGGCTTATGGATCGCCAATGCCACTATAGCATGTGGTTGTTGTTACACGTTCTGTCCACTAGAGGGACATCTAACATTACAATAAACATTTTATTCGTGCTGAATATGGTTGAAGCGCTACCGATGGTTTTCGGCTAATATCTCCGCTAAAACACCACCAAAAATTCTGAAACTTATATCGTTCTTTTCAGTTCCACTAGACGGTTCCAGCGAGTTTGGTGCTCGCCGAATCCGTTGAGTTTTCACCAAGATATTTGCGCTTCACGTGCGTTTTTTACGTTGTTAAACATTTACCATTTTTGACAGTATTGTTATGATGATACAGCGTGGATAACGTGCACAATTGTGTTACGATTCAAAAACGTTATTGTTCATCAGACGAAACAAAAGCATTTCATTTTCACATGTGTGTAAGCCAAGGTGGCGAGAAAGGCAAGATTCTATATAAAAAAAATTAATGAAGGGGAATAGGAGCAGGCTTCACTCAATGATTAAACTTAAACTTTAAGAATGCTGGCCTGATGATTAGAATATATAACGTTAAACAGGAAAGAGGCCGCACTATGCATAAATTGTTTTATTTGCACAAACGCGTTTCGGCGCGTGCCTTCTTGAAACGCGTTTGTGCAAATAAAACAATTTATGCATAGTGCGGCCTCTTTCCTGTTTATATATATATAAAAAAATTAAAATATACATAAAAAAAACAATATTCGAATAGTAACTTCAGCATTCGAATAGTATTGATTTTTTTAATATTCGAATTATATTCGAATTTCGGAATTCGTTCCAACAGCCCTAGTGCTTTCTGTGGTCAGCGGCAGCGCCAACGTAGATCTGAATGTTCCAGTGGATTCTGTCAAAGCTTTAATAGACACAGGCGAATCATTGCCATTTTGCAAACATTTAGTATTGCGTAAGTTGAAACGCCTCGCTCGGACTGCGGCTGCAACCGCGAGGCCAGACTCACTCGAGCCCTGATCTGACAGCAGGACTCCTTCCACAAATGCCTTCAGCAGTTTTCAGGGATCGATGGAAGTGCTTTAAACTGGTTTCTGAGTTTCGCTGTTTGCGGGTTCTCATCTGCGTTGATTCAGCCCAGTTTGACTGTGGCGTTCCCCAGGGATCTGTACTGGCTCCTGTTCTGTTGTCCCTGTGTATGCTTCCGTTAGCTAGTGTAGTTTAGAAGCATGGGATATCCTTTCATTGTTATGCTGATTATACCCAGATGTATTTACTATTGAGAAAGAATCAGGGAAATGCAGTCACATCTCTGTTGGCCTGTCTAGAGCATCTAAAAGTGTGGATGTTTTTACATTTTTTGGAACTAAAACTGAGTTTATTGTTTTTTTTCAGCTGAGGTTTTTATTGAACATCAAGTCTGGCAAGGAGCTTGAGAAGGTTATTCATGTATTTATTTCCAATTGAGTAGATTACTGTAATTCTCTGTATATATGAAGCATTCTTCAGTGGTAAGGTTGCAGTTGGTTCAGGTAAACGCGAACACATGGCGCAGATTTTCCTCTCTCTTCATTGGCTCCCTGTCCAGGACAGGATTGAAGTTTTACCTTTTGTTGTCATGAGGCCATTATAACTGTCATGAATATTTTTCTGGAGCTCAACTACAGTGGTACAAATTTAATTTTTAATTTAAATTAATGTAATGTTAACCCATAAAGCTAAGTGGTTTCTTAAGTTTGATCATTAATCTGCTACGTCATGTTTATTACAGGTTGTGTTGTCTTAGTAATGTCAAGTTGTCATGACAAAGACACTGACAGGTTATGATGTATTAGTTTATGTCAAGTTGTCATAACAAAGACATCTCAAACAATGCCATATTTGCATTAAAAATGCCATAATTGAGCGAATGACACTTAATGACTGTTGTCATAAACATGCATAAACCCTCCTTCATATGTCATGCTTATAAAGGTGTCATGTCAGTCTTATGCACACCCCTTCAAGTAAAGTGTTAACACTAGTTTAATTCCACAAATGTTAAATTTTATGTTTTTGTATGTTTCTAAGAAAGAAATCACACAAATGAAAGTATTTAGACATGTTTTGGTAACTTTAATTTAGGCAGATTTGTAAACCTTTGAATTAACAGGAAAACAGCCAATGTGATATTTAGTTTTCCCTCTTATGATTCAGCAAAACACATTCAAGTCCAGTCAGCTTTATTTCTACAGTGCCTTATACAGTACAGATCATTTCAGCAGCTTCACAGTGATAAACAGGACAATAACAGAATCAACAAGCAGCATTTAGCGGTGTTCAAGCAGTTAAGGCCTTTAAGGCCGTTAAGCACAAAAGCATCAAAAGACATTAAGTTTTATGTAGCAAGCATTTAACCATTGACATCATGGATGGAATAGACCATGTTTTAGCATGATTTACCATGATATACCACATTTCAGTGTGACTTTTCATTTACCATGTTCAAGTATGATTTACCATGAATCTACTGTAGCATGATTTATCTTAGTTTACCTTGATTTACCATGTTATAGGATGATTTAACATGATATAGCACATTCTAGAATGATTTACCAGGATTCTAGCATGATTTACCTTATTTACTATGATTTACCATGTTTCTGGCGTTATTTACCATGATTTACCATGTTGATAGCAATTATGTGAAGCATCAGAACAATTGAAGTGATAAACTCTGACAAAATATGATTGTGTTATAAAAGTAATTGTTATATAAGGGATTTTTTAGTGTCTATATATATGAATGGGTTAGGGTGGTGTGGTTCCGATCGGGCGAAAAACCAGGGACTAGTTCGCAAAAGTAGGTTTTCGACAAAATTCGACATAGCAGAAAAATTTTCTGGAGATATACATATTGTCCGTCTTGAGCCAAGGATCACAGTGGTGTAAAAACCTTGATTGTGAGTCAAACGGTCTAGGAGTTATGGTCAATTTAGTACTTTTGGTTGCTGTAGCGCCACCTATGGGCCAATCGGGCTCATACTCTGATAGGTTCTCCCCAAACTGAGGCCTACCATCTGGCCGAGTTTCGAGTCTCGAGGCCTTACGGTTTGGGCTGCACGATGCGTTTTAGGGGATTTTTTTTTTTTTTAAACCCTAACAATTACAATAGGTTTTCAGCACTTCGTGCTTGAACACCTAATAATGCAAACTTCATCAAATACCAGACAAATTCGTCCGTAAAGCAGTTCTAAAAAATGTAGTCATTATTCAGTTCAGTTCAATAAAAGTGTAAAGCTCATCAATTTTGAAACAAGTTAAATTCAGCTGTACAGCAGCTCTACTGAAGATAATAGAGTCAATATTCAGATCAATTCAGTGTCAATGTTGAAAATTTCATCAATTATGAAACGGTTGAATCGGCTGAAAGCGGCTCTGGAGAAAACAGTGGCATCATCCTTCAAGGTTTTTCTTCATGCATGTTTCCTGCGAGCTGCATTGTGTGTGCGTGTGCATGTGTGTGTGCATGTGTGTGTGTGTGCGTGTCTGTGTGTTTGTTTTTGTGATATATGAGGACACAAATGTGTATAATGACATGCATATTACACTGGTATTACAACTTACACGTGATATATGAGGACATTGCATGTGTCCTCATATTTCAAATAGCTTAAAAAACATAAAAAACAATGGGTTTTTTTTATGTAAAAATGCAGCATGTCTCCTGTGATGGGCAGGTTTAGGGATAGGGGCAGTGTAGGGGGAGAGAATATACAGTTTGTCCAGTATAAAAGTCATTACGCCTATGGAATGTCCTCATATATCACAAAAACAAAGCTGTGTGTGTGTGTGTGTGTGCGTGCGTGTCTGTGTGTGTGTGTGTGTGTCTGTCTGTGTCTGTGTCTGTGTGTGTGTGTGTGTGTGTGTGTGCGTGCGTGTCTGTGTGTGTCTGTCTGTGTCTGTGTCTGTGTGTCTGTGTGTGTGTGTCTGTGTGTGTGTGTGTGTGTGTGTGTGTGTGTGTGTGTGTGTGTGTGTGGTGCTCGCCTCCATCCAGCTCCTCAATAGATGGCAGTGTCTCCCTGTTTTCTTTTCTCTTCTGTATTCCCAGCAGTTTCTGTCTCCTCGTCATGGTTTCACCACATTTCCACAGCATTTGTCTCTCACTGTATTTGTTTGCCTGTTATTTTAGCTGCAAGTTGTGCAAGCTGACATTGCCACCATCGAAAGTGAAGCCGTTGTTCACCCGACCAACTCCACCTTCTACATGGGTGGTGAAGTAGGTAAAGGAGCCTCAGTGTCCAGCAGATCCACAGTCCAAACCACAGCGCTGACACTGACCGCACACACACTAACGACAAAAGCACTTTCTTATAACAATATTTGCTCAGTGACAGTGAATGCAGAAGGTGTCTAAAGCGGCACACTGTGTTCATGCTTGGATCTGGCCTGGTTTAATGGATCTAGTGCTGGAGTTTCATGGCTGTGGTTCAGGACATTTGGGTCATGCTTTACTTTCTAATGGATTGCTGTGGCAATTATTCCATGTTAATATTGTGAGTTCTGTCATCTTGCTTTTTGTGTCTAAACTTACATGTTTTCCCATGTCTTCACTGATTCCTGTGCCCAAAAAACTCAATCCAGTTTTATTTGTAACCCAACTTTTTAATATTAATAATCATGTTTTATCGAAAACGTTATTTCTGGAGGTTTCTGAAGGTTCAAAACATCCATTTTTTTTTTTTAAATGTTAACATTTTTTATTTAGTCCGACTAAAATGTTCCAGGAAAAATAATATTTTCGTGTTGATGTTTTGAGAACATTAGACACCAGTTATCTCTGAACAAATGTTCTATTAACGTTACTGGAAGAACGTTTGTTCGTAACCTTGAGAGAACGTTTGTCCGTAACCTTGAGAGAACGTTTGTTCGTAACCTTGAGAGAACGTTTGTCCGTAACCTTGAGAGAACGTTTGTCCGTAACCTTGAGAGAACGTTTGTCCGTAACCTTGAGAGAACGTTTGTTCGTAACCTTGAGAGAACGTTTGTTCGTAACCTTGAGAGAACGTTTGTTCGTAACCTTGAGAGAACGTTTGTCCGTAACCTTGAGAGAACGTTTGTCCGTAACCTTGAGAGAACGTTTGTCCGTAACCTTGAGAGAACGTTTGTCCGTAACCTGGAGAGAACGTTTGTCCGTAACCTTGAGAGAACGTTTGTTCGTAACCTTGAGAGAACGTTTGTCCGTAACCTTGAGAGAACGTTTGTCCGTAACCTTGAGAGAACGTTTGTCCGTAACCTTGAGAGAACGTTTGTTCGTAACCTTGAGAGAACGTTTGTCCGTAACCTTGAGAGAACGTTTGTTCGTAACCTTGAGAGAACGTTTGTTCGTAACCTTGAGAGAACGTTTGTTCGTAACCTTGAGAGAACGTTTGTCCGTAACCTTGAGAGAACGTTTGTCCGTAACCTTGAGAGAACGTTTGTTCGTAACCTTGAGAGAACGTTTGTCCGTAACCTTGAGAGAACGTTTGTCCGTAACCTTGAGAGAACGTTTGTTTGTAACCTTGAGAGAACGTTTGTTCGTAACCTTGAGAGAACGTTTGTCCGTAACCTTGAGAGAACGTTTGTTCGTAAC